AATTGTAGAGCTATAGACACATATCAGCTAAATATACACACAGATAAAGACATAGACATATCAAATAAAGTTGAAGGGATAAAATTCGTATTTTGTACAAGAAATAAATTAGATAAAATTAGTAGAATGACAAGCAAGAAAGTCATGGAAGCAGCAAAATTAGAGACAGAGTAAAGCCAGAAAAAGTTCATTTTTTAAAAAATTCAGCAATCATTTACTGGGCATCTACTAAATCCAGGTTCTGGGATTTAGAAAACATACCACATTTAGAAAATACAGTGAAAGAGGAATGACCATGTTAGAGGAGGAGGGGCACATACAAGTGAGCATGAAAACTCAGATTGGCTGTGTCTGATCCAGAGAGAGGTGGTCTGGGAAGTGTGGCAAATGGAGTTAGCCTAAGAAGGAAGAGAGAAGCTTGAGGGAGTATTGGCAAGAAGTGGGGTTCGGGTGTGTGTGTGTGTGTGTGTGTGTGTGTGTGTGTGTGTGTTTAGAACAGAGCATAACCAAGTGTGATTGAAGACTGCAGGGAAAGATCCAATGGTAAGATATTGACTGAATCTGAAAAGACAGAGAGGGAGAAAGAGGAACAAAAAGTTGAATGATGCTGCAAGCCTCCATTGTGTACTTTTTAAAAAAAAAAGTAATGTTGACTTGCATTGTTCTAAAAGCAATGCCAACACAGACTTTTTTTTAAGTTATTATTAAATAACTCTTGGAAGCTGCACTTGAACTCTGCAGAGTATAGGAGTCCAGACACTAGTATTTTAGCCCCAACTCTGGGACTAACTTGCTTTATTATTGCAGACTCAGTTTCCTTCCCTATAAAATGGGCATAATCATAACTCCCTTCAAGTGCTATTTTTGGAGATAAAGTAAAAATAATGTGTTTTGCAAACTATAAATTTACAATAAATAGATACAAACTATATACAAATACAAACAATAAATAACATTTGCAATCTACTGTAAATGTTATTTAAAGCTACCAAATTTAAATAATCCTGGAGCTATCACCTTGGCTTCAGAGAATGTACCCCTGCCATTGAGCATGGTATGCCTCAATGCCTCCATCAATAAAATGAGACAACTTGGGATCATAGACCTCTCTGGCAGGTAGTGTCTAAAGACTAATGACATGGCAAAATTAGTTTAAATCTTTAGGAGAAAAAAGATGTAAATCTAAGGTTGTAATGAACATTTTTCTTTCCACAGCATTATTAATACTTTGAGATTTTTCAGAGCATAAGAAGAATGAAATCTTTCCATTTGCAACAACATGGATGGGGCTAGAGAGTATAATGCTAAGCAAAATATGTCAGTCAGAGAAAGACAAAGACATATGTTTTACTCATATGTGGAATTTAAGAAATGAAACAAATGAGCAAAGAGAAAAAGAGAGAGGCAAACCAGGAATCCGACTCTTGGTTACCAGAGGGGAGATGAATGGGAGGATGGGTTAAATGGGTGATAGGGACTCAAGAATACGCTTGCTGTGATGAGTGTTGATATATGGAAGTATTGAATCACTGTATTGTACATCTGAAACTAATATAACGCTGTATGTTAACTAACTGTAATTTAAATAAAAACTTTAAAAAATAAATACACAGAAAAGGGAAAAAAGATAATTATGAAATAACATTCATTTGTTTATTTTTTGGTCTCGATATTTTATCATTTCTCTTTGGATATAGAAATATATGCAAAGAAAGGTAAATCTAACTAAGGTTAATGACAGAATCAGAAGGGCTTTTCTTCTTTGTCTTTTTTAACAGTCCCAATTGTGTGCATCTGTTACCATGCTTTGCTCTCTTTTATTTACTCCAACGACCACTTTACTAAGGAGTTAAGCCAGCAGAAAACTATTGGAAAATTATTTTGTCAGTATGTTTCATGCTATATGACCACAGGGGAAAGGCTGGAGCCAAAAATCACTTAAAAGTAATAGCCTGTTTACTAACAGAAGCTCCCAAATGCTTATTTTCTTCTGTAGTTACAGATGCAGCAATGAGACCTCTACTTGTGGCAATTCCTATCATTGACCTTCATTAAAATATTGTTTTAAAAAAAACAGACAAACCATGACAGGACTCCCACTGATACCAATGGTTTGAGTGACCTTGAGCGTATCACTTCATCTCTTGAAACTTCTGAGTCCCCAGCTTTTCATAAAGGGGGTAGACAAAGTCTACTTGATTCAAAACTGAGGGGCACTTATAAATGTATATGAGTATTTTTTTAGTGGCCAGTGCCCAACGATGCATAATGTCCTGCAGAGAGCATGGGGCAATCCTGCACAAAGCACCCCCCCCATTCAAACTGCCAGCAGCAGCCTGAATTAGCACTGACATCTCTGCCTATAATCAGTGATACCAAGTCAAGTATCTGTCCATTCATTAATTCATTCAACCACCCATTATCGATCCCCTACTGTAGGCTGGGCACCAAGCTTCCCTAGCTGAATATTCCAGAAACCTTGGCTTGAATCCTATCCTTCTTTAGCCTTTCCCCTTCCTTTTAAAGGGTTTATTCATCCACAGGACCACCTGACAGGTACGAATAAGGATTTTGCAGCTCAGCCCATGAAAGGACTGGATCCTAGGACTCATCAAGTGCTTTGGGGTTTCTAATGACATTGAGAACCAAAAAGGTTCACTCAGTCCTCCCCAAAGTTGGAATGATGACCACCTGGTTTGCTTTTAATAATTCAGAAAGGGAAGCCTTCAGCTCCATGGACCAAGGGCTTCCACCTAGACAGTGAAATCCAAATTGTGGAGCATGTAGCTAATATTCAACTGTTGATTGAACTGTTGATTCAATCATTTCTCATCGCTAAAACAAAACACCAACTGTTTTATGACAAGTGAACAACTTTCACTGGCAAACTCAAATTTCCTAATATACTTAAATGGCATTTGAGGCCAGTTGTACTAACTGCCTTAGAGCATTTTATCATATCAAGTAGGATCATTAACTTGCTAATTAACTGTGCAGTGAGTAACCCTGTGCTATCATGCAGTCCTAGCAGCCACCACCCAAATACATAGTCCCTCTGGGAGTGCTGTGACCTCTAGACTCAGACCCCAGCCATCATGCTGTTACTCAGCATTCACATGGCCCTTCATCACCTGTTGTCTCACAGCACCCCAGGGAAAGCTTACGATTCTGATTGCTTGTGTTGCAAAGGAGACCAATGCACAGAGAATCGTGAAAGTCCTACAGATAAAAAAAAGACTTTTGTGATGGGGGGATTCTGAGTACTGTTTACAATCCCAGAAGTCATGCTGATGGTCAGGCATGCTTTGTAAATACACGAACATTTTTAATTTAAACTTTAATGAATCTTGGATATTACTGATCATTAAAAATCCTGTATGTACTGGTTCAGCCACTATCATTGGCTACTTCTCCTGAACACAGCAGGGTCTGAGTACTAAGAATGTAGTCCTGCTCTCATAGACCTCTGGACACTTGGAGAAGTCAGACATCGTGCCAGTAATTCAGTACTCATTACCTATTATTGCAATTGACACTATAAAGGACACAGAACACAAGGAAAGCATTGATGCACCTGACCTAGCCTGGAGACCCAAGAGGCTTCCTTGAGAGAGCAGTATATAAGTGCAGGCCTGAAGGAAAAGGAGGCAGGAGTTCAGGAATTCAGGTGAGACATTCTAGATAGAGCGGGGTGCATGATTGAAGACCCTGAGGCAGAAAGGAAAGACTGACTCCAGGTAGGAGAGGATGCCAGCTTCGTTCAGGTGGCAAAAATGGGAGAGGGTGGCATGAATGGATATGAGGTGTTTAGAGGATGGAATTGATGGAATTTAGTGCCAACAGGATGTAGGGAATAGGAGTGGAGGCTTATACTGGCCTGCATCTGACTGCTGGGTGGTAAAGTCACTTGTTTAGGATTCTAACAGAGGCATGGTACTGGGCAATGGGTCAGGATCACCAGTTTCTCATTTGGTACATAGAATTTGAAGTCCAGTGGGACATAGTTTGTCTAGTGGAGACATGGAGTATCCAAAGGTCACTGTATCTTAATAGGGTATAGTAGAAACAACCTGTTCTGTGGAGCACAGAGCCTATGTTTGGAAGCATGGCTATAGACCAGCATTGAGGCTCTTGTAATTTATAAAATGTGTTCTCATGTGTCATGTCTAAGGGGGAAGTCAATGGGTAATTATCTTCATTATACTAGCAGGAAATTGAGGCTTCCTGAGTTTGTGATCTGCCTACGGGCACACTACTATAAGTAAGGATTTGGTACTCAAATTCAAATCTTCTGACTCCAGGCACAAAGGTCTCCTCATTTCACCACCTTCACTTGCCACATGATTGGGGCCAACTCTCTACTGACTCCCGGGGCTTCCATGTCAGGTGGAATCTCACTATTAGCACAAAATAAATACGTAAGAAGTGAAATCAAGGATTTTTTTTCTATACTCTGTTTATTCTTCCTCTCTCTCTTTTTTACAACAGTATTTTTAAAGTATTGTAAACTTGAGAGTTATATTTGTGTTTAAGGCTAGAGCATATATTTTTACAAGCAGTGAGAAGACAGTTGTCTGGAAGAAATTAAGTTAAACTTTTGTCTAAATTCTAATAATTTATAAAACATAAGACCTCAGCCTTCTCACCTCCCATCCCCAGATTTACTCCTAAAATAGTAGAACCATTTATAGTGGCTCAGTGTATCCTCCCCTCCTGTGAGCTTTTCCTGTGGAATCTGGGCACTGGGGCAGGAGACTCTTCACTACCAGCCTTATCCTATCCATTGGCCTTCTCCCCTTTCCCTCAAAGCTTGGGAGATATTTCAGTAAATTTAGTTTGTGCTTGTTTCAGAATCTGTTTAACTGAATCAGTTCTGGGTCTACACAAAAACTCGGGTTCAGGGAAGTACCTTCTCTACAGGGCTAAGTTATTTTTCTTTATCACGTGGGAAGCTTCCCCCTGAACCTCCTGTTTCTGTTTACCTCCCTCTTTCCCTATAGCTCTTGGACTGCTTTGTGATCCCGGTGGTGATTTTGCTGTCCTGGTTCTTCCTGCTGATCCGGTACAAGGCTGTGCATTTCCTCGGCATCGTGGTCTGCATCCTGGGCATGGGCTGCATGGCAGGAGCGGATGTGCTTGTGGGAAGGCATCAGGGAGCAGGTGAGTCCCTAGCTGTTCACCACCATGGTGGCGTAGAAACAGCAAACTTGGTCTTCCCAGTGTCTGCATCTTACTCCTGTTTGTTCCTCAACACCTAGAATAGTGGTGCATAGAAGGTGCTTCATCCATGTTTTCTGAGCGAATGGAGGAAGCAAAATACAAACTTACTGCCCTTTCTACATGTATTCAGAAACATTCAGATGGTGTTTAAAACTGAGGGTCAGGACCCATTTGGAGCATATTTTGGAGGCCATTGCTCCTGGCCTAAACCAGCTGGTTAGAAATGATGTCAGTGATCCTCTCTTGGACCACAGTGGCCTTCCCCACACCCCACCCTCAAACTCTTGCTTTCTCAAGTCAGAGAAAGACTGAGCTTTCAAACCACTGGATGGAGGTTGGTTATATAAGCTAAGAGTGGATATTTTAAATTTAAAGACTACATTGGGAATACTGAATATTTTTATGTAGGAGAGCTATGTTTAGTCTCCTTGCGCATGTTTTTTTTGTTTGTTTATATTTTTGGTGGGGAGGATTTCTGGTTATCAGTCACTGCTTATAGACCTGTAAGGTAAAGCTTCAATATTTACTCATCAAATTGTTATGAATCTGATGGGGATCCCTGATTCAGCAGGATTTCCAGAGGATCCTTTTTTTAAGCTTTGGAGTTCTTTAAAATATATAAAAATGCTTATGCTACTTAAGATTGGGGGGTACAGAAAAAAATGACCTCTTTTGTGAACCTCAAGAATGGAATGGAAAATATTCACATCTCTATAGCTCTTGGAATTGACCTTCCTCCTATGGAATTTGATGATAGTCAAAATTGGAACATTTCTCATAATGAGGCTAGGTTGTAGAAAGTACTCGAAATAAATATAATTTATTATATTTTACTTTTTACTTTTTAAGTTGCATCATAGAACATTATAGCTTAAACAGACCTTGTTCAGCAACTTTATATGTGACACACAAGAACACTAAGATACAGGGAAGCCAAGTGAATTCCCAAGGTCACAGAACTACAAGAGCAGAATCTAGAATAGAACTCAAGGCTCTTAAACTCTGGGGCAGGCTTTTTTCTCTGCCCCATATCTCTAGGAGCTAAAGACAACACAGAGCAAAAGAGAGACAGCCTTGCCCCTCACAACACTGCCTACACAACATAATCAATCCCACCTCAACAGAGAGACTAAAAATACACACACCAGCTTTTCCCACCAACTTTTCTATGAAACACTGGTTCCATGGTGTATCAATAGATGTCATATGAAAGGGCCAGCTTTATGCTCTAAACTCATAGTGGTCCTGATATGGATAATCTCTTTGGATCAATCAGATAGTTCTTTTTGTCTGATATATTGTGGCTAGTTGTTCTAAAGTCATAATTTAATTACACTTTCTCAGCTTTACTTGAATGGTGTAAACACCGACTAAGGAGAAGCATGTACCCTTCTTTATGAAAATTATGCTTTGCTGAACCTTAATCACTGACTTCTAGCCATCATCTTGCATTTTCTAGTCAAGGAAGACAATTACCCTGATAAATCTGAATGTTTAAGCCTAGAATGGTAAGCTACATTAAACTGGTTTTACTAGGCTCTATCCATCTCTTCTGGGGGGTAAAAAAATGTTTTCTTGATTTCAAATGCAGTGTTAGGAGAGGAGTAATACTATTAGAGAAAAAAAAAAGTAAGCCCATTTGAGTGTCTTTCAAAAGCAATAACTTTTAAAAACAACGCAGAGTGGTTGAAACATACTAGAGTAGACTTTATCTGTTTAAGATTCACAGCAGCATCCTTCTTGTGACAAATGACGTCCTCGTGTTAACAATTAAAATTTATCATCAGGGAGTACCTTCAATGCTAGAGTAATGGTGCCAAGTGCATGATATGATGTTCTAAAGGCAGCCCAAATATAGGATCCAAGGGCTTATTTTATAAAATAAATTAGCCATTTAAGCTGTCATATAAAATGTTTTGAAAAAAGAAAGAAACACACTCTGGTTTTAAGGACAGTATAATCTTAAAATTGGCGTGCATGATTATGGAAAATATTCCATTTGTTTTCACCTTGACGGTAGAATTAGTTCAATGTTATTACTTAGCCAGGGAGAGAACTTTTCGAAAATACTTCACTCACCAGAACTTCATCAGCCTATCAAGAGCTTTTCATAGGAGAAGAGAATGTCTGATTTGAACCTTTTTATGTTACTTAATCCGTGGATCACCTTAGCTTGGGATCTTGAAAATTCTTTCCTCGAGCATGATGATAAGGGCCTGTTCAAAGTTACTTTGACTTCATTATAATTAAAGTAATTACTCTAATTCTCTTTGTTAGAATGTTTCTTCCTCATTTTGATTTAAGTCTTGCTGAAGGAACTGTCGCAGATGGCAGCAGGCTCTCCAGATACGAAATGTCTGTATCAGGGCACACGGCGATGTGCCAGGAGTTTTGCTTCTGATGAAACTTTGCCAGCAGATTAGCCCACCTCGGACAGAAGTGGAGAGAAGGCATCTGCAGTCTGTGGCACTGGAGGCTCTGCCTCGGAGGCTGTGGAGTGCACTGCACAAAGTGGGAAGAAGCCCTAAGACTGAGATAAAACTCAATTAAAACTGCTCCTTGTTATAAAATGTATTTCCTGCTCCCCAAAATATCATCTTTCTACCATAATGCATTGATTACATCTAGTTTATTTATTCAAGATGTTAGATATCTATAACAACATTTTTTCTTATTGCTAGACATAATTTTATAGTTATTTCAAGGAAGAGAAAATATTTTCAAGGAGCTAGATAATTACACAATCCAAAAAAGAGTGATAATTTTTTTCTTTTTTTTTTAAGATTATTTATTTATTTATTTATTCATGATAGACATAGGGGGAGAGAGAGGCAGAGACACAGGCAGAGGGAGAAGCAGGCTCCATGCAGGGAGCCCGACGCGGGACCCGATCCCGGGACCCCAGGATCACGCCTTGGGCCAAAGGCAGGCGCTAAACCGCTGAGCCACCCAGGGATCCCCCCTGATAATTTTTTTTTTGGTGCCAGGCACTTTCCCATGCATTATCTCATTTAAGTCCTCCTAACTATGCAAAGAAGGTTTTCTTATACTCACTTTTGCAGCTAAAGAGATCAAGGCTAAGGGAGATCAGGAGCGTGTGCAAGGACACACCAGTACTAAATGGTGTGACCTAAATGTGAATCTAGCCAGTATTCTTTCTGCTACACCACTTAATACTTATTTTTCTATAATGGTGGCCCTTAAAAGAAATGCACAACTGTTCTACTATAGTAGATGAGGAGAAATGACTGTCCCAGATTGCTCAGGATGAAGAGGTATCCTCAGGTGAGGGAATTCGGTGCTAAAACCAAGAGAGTCCCAGGAAAACAGGACATTTGGTCACATTTAAAACTCAAAAATACTCAATGGGATGGGTCCATTTTCATAAATTATATTAATAGTCTTTGAACACTCCAGAATAGTAGAATTCACCATTTATTTCTCAGTCTACTGGTAAGTAGCAGTTTTCCCAGGAAGCTGACTCCAGGAAGTTCTCCTGGCTTTCAGCGTCTCTTCTCCTCTTTCCGATCCTTACCAGGAGTGGGAATTTGCCTTAGGAAAAGTAACACCTTTAGAGTACAGCTGACCCTTGAATGACATGCTTTTGAAATGCACAGGCCCACTTAGACATAGAGTTTTTTCTTCTTTGATAAATACAGTACAGTACCGTAAGTGTATTTTCTCTTCTTGAGTTTCTTGACACTTTCTTTTCTCTAGCTTACTTTATTGTAAGAATACAGGCGCCTGGATAGGGGCGCCTGGATGTCTCAGTCGATTAAGCATCTGCCTTAGGCTCAGATCATGATCCCAGGATCCTGAGATCAAGTCCCACATTGGGCTCTCTTGCAGTGGGGAGTCTGCTTTTCCTTTTCCCTCTTCCTGCTGCCCCCTCTGCTTGTACTCTCTCCCTCCCTCTCTCTGTCAAATAAATAAATAAAATCTTTAATTTAAAAAAAGCAGATTATATATATATATATATATATATATATATATATATCATACAAAATATGTGTTAAGTGTATTATTGGTAATATTTCTGGTAAATGTTAGGCTATTAGTAGTTAAATCTTTGGGGAGTCAAAATTTCAATGCAGATTTTTGACTGCATAGGGATCAGCACCCTTAAGCCCTGCATTGTTCAAGGGGCACCTGTAAATACAGAATCTGCCAAGGTGACCAAAAAGGAATGAATGAAGAACCCTTTCCCCAAGCCTAGCGCAAATTCTTTTATGTGAAGGCATTTCCTAGAGAATGCTCAGTGCTCCTATATGAACACTGAGAATCTGGTTTCTACAGTTTTAGATTATTCCAGCTAATCTGGAAATCTGAGGCCACTCTATGATGTGTGCCCCCTTCCTAGAATTATGCTGGAGAGAGCACCCTTCCCATCTGGGATCTCTTGTGCCCCAGAACTACATGCCTGCCACACTCCCAGGTGCTGACCTGTACAAGAGCTGGAGACTGCGAAGGTACAAGCCCACATGGGCTGCTAACTTCCACACTCATTCCCTGGCTTCATACTTCCTAGGGCCTAATTATAGGAAATAGCAGGGTAGAGCACTTATTAAGAATTGGACAAACCCAAACCAACCAAAATTGATTTTAAAACATATAGACATTTTTATGAAAATAAAATGTTAATGTAATGGTGAATTACATATATTTTCACTCTTACATTACTTACTGTAGAGAAGTTGAAAATTTCAACCCATAATCCCTTTCACTCTCATTTTCTAAGCAAGTACATATTTTGCCCATAGTCAAAATAAAGAGTCTCGACTAATTCTGTTATAGCTTCCCTCCCTGTGTAGCAGAGGGTGGAAATTCAGACTGACTCTGTTTGTTCTACACCATGTTCACCAAGCTGTTGGAAAGCATCCTGCGGCAAATATAACACGTACATGTATTAGCATATATTTCTAGACATATATATAGACAGAAGACATGGGGCTTTGTAGAGAGAGTGCAATCTAGAAGCGACTGGTCCCTTTTTTCAGTTAAGGAAGATTTCTGGTTGGGCAGACGTCGGCAACCTTTTTATACCAGAATATATCTGGAGTGCAGATAAACAGACTTTACTAAATTTCAGTTGGCAAATGACTGGACTTCTGTAAAAACATCAGAATAGAATAGACAAAGGAAGTTCAATTTGCTGGTGCCAGATTCTCATTAAGAACATTTTAATGAAGCTGCGTTTGTGTTTTTCGTTCCTAGGGGAAAATAAGCTGGTAGGGGACCTTCTGGTCTTAGGAGGAGCCACATTATACGGTATCTCTAACGTCTGGGAAGAATACATCATCCGAACCCTGAGTCGAGTGGAATTTCTGGGAATGATTGGACTCTTCGGGGCTTTCTTCAGTGGAATTCAATTGTGAGTAAAAAAATAAGACGAAATTCAGACAATAGATACTCTTAGGGCTTATTCTAATTATTTCTCATTAGGGTAAGGTTGGTCGCTTTACTTTATAAAAATCAAGGCTGGAAATGTTTCACTAACTTCCTACATGAAATCTGAAAACTCAGTATCTTTCTTGCTAAGTGTCTTCAAAACTAAAGAAGTTTATGATCAATTATTAGAAAACCGCTTAGTGGACTTTGTACACAATTTACAAAAAAAAAAAACAAAAACAAAAACACAACAGTAGAAGTACATTGATCCTCCCAAACCAGCCAGTGGTTTTACTTAGAGAAGTAGAATACCTAAGTGTAAATGCCATGATTTAATACACTTCCAAAAAGGGACATCTGTTCACTAGTGACAACAACTACTAAGAAGCTTACAGTGTAAGTTTGTCCTTTCATAAATTTATTCTTCTATTGCCCATGGATTTGCCTGAAGGAACCATATTTTCAATTCATCTCTTAGAAGTTTGGTGTTCCTATTTTCCTTGAACAGTTGAAGATAAAACACACTCACCAAGCATCAGAAAGTCCAAAACACCAATTTTGTAATGGTCCTGCATTGGAGCGTATAAGTCATCACTGACTAGTGCCTCAGAATTGTTGTAAGAATAAGTGTCAAACAAACTATACTTTTCCATCGATAAAGACCATATGTTTTAAACATTTCATGTAAGGGATGAAGAGTGATAGTACAGCCTCCAGTCTAATTTCACCAAATCCTTTTCTACAAAGCAAATAATTCTAATTTCACCAAATCCCTGTCTATAAGGCAAGTACTTTGTAATTGTTTTAGTTCAGTATCTGATTATTTATGGAAGATATTTTGGCATCACCTTAAATAGTTTTTACCAATAGGCTGTTTCCAAGAATCCTCCAAATTTTGGTATCTGGAGATAGAAGTAAAGCTCCATGGCAAACAAGGCACAGAGATGGGGAGAGTCTCTGAGAAGGATTTATTTTTGATTCATTTTGAAAGTGGGATGGCATTTCAAAGCTCCTAAATTTGGTGCTTCAACTTTGTGAGAGGAAAAGAAATTGCCTAGTTCAACTATTCATAACCAGCATTCTGTAGATAGATGGCTCATTTTATGGATTATTATTCTTGAATCCAAAGAGTAGAACCAGAGATCCGGCACTCATTTGCCTCAGTTACAGTCCATTCGAGCTAACTGAGCCCTTTAGGACCACTGCTGCCAAAATAATGGAAGTGGCACATGGTTGTCTTTGGCAACAGAGTACATTGAGGGTGGAGCGGTGCCAGCTTCACCTCCTGGTCCTCTTCCAGAGCAGTGGTTCTCAAAATGAGCTTCTCTGACCAGCAGCACTGATACCACATGAGAACTTAGCAGAGATGCACATCGCGGGGCCCCAGCCACATCTACTGAATCCAGATCTCTAGGGATGGGGCTCAAGAAATTGTTTCAATGTGCTCTCCAGATGGAGTATCTTTGAATTAGAACCACTGCCCTTGAGAATCCTCAATCAGAAAACTGACTCCAAACACAAAGCAAAACAAATTTCTGCGAACACAGATATTTTCCTCACCTTTCCATTGACTTTTTGGACTTCATCTAAGCAAGAAGAAATCAAGGTGGCAGGTAGACTGTTTGGTGAAAAGGCCAGTGGAAGGATTGGGCACCACTGTATGCCCACTGACCACACCTTCAGGGGGATTCTCAGGCTGAAAATTAGACTTCCCTATCCCTGGCCCAAAGTTATTCTTGAAATTCAGTTGGTTGTTTCATGACTTCTATAAATCTGGTAAATGAAAAAAGAAAAGAGAAAAGAAGTAGGACACTTTATAATCTTGCTCATGAGGTCCACTTTCTTTGAATTTGCAGAGCGATCATGGAGCACAAGGAGCTGCTAAAGGTGCCCTGGGACTGGCAGATCGGTAAGGGGTTTGCTTTTCTAAAAATGCTGTGTTTCGTAAACCTGAGGGATGTGTTTGAAGGGCGACGTGGGCAGGAGTGGGCCACAAACCATGAAAGCGTCCAGAATGTCGGGGACAAAGGAAAATGAAATCCCTGGTCATTTTAGGAATTCTTGTACCCGGTGAGACACTAAACTGTGTGATTCATAATGTTTCCTAATTGAGCTTCTGCCCATTATCATCATCAGGATGCCATTAGTGTAGACACAGAAGTATGTTATTAGGTTAAAAGACCAACAAGAAGGAAAAAATGCCCAGAGGCAGTGGTAGGGCATAAATGACAGCTATTTTCTCTAACCAAGAAACACAGAACTGATGGGATCATTAAAAAGTGGCACTTTAGTCGGGGGAGGGGGGAGGAATGAACAAAAAGGCATACAAGAAAACAATGTAATGGGCATTTTGAGCCGATAAAAACCTTTTCAGAAGGGAGCATAAGAAATGGTTAAATGATCTCCAAGTGGACTTGGTGGAAAATACCAGACACGCTTCGAGCTAGTTAACAGTCATCCAGGGTATCTCACATTCCACCTGTTTTGAAAATCACTTTTCTCTAAAAGAAATATTTATTTTATTTTTTAAATTTATTTTATTTTCTATTTTTTAAATAGAGCTTATATATATAAAAGCTTATATATATTATATATATAAGCTTATATATATAAGGTTATATATATATTATATATATATATATATATTCACCTTTTACAGAATTAAATTCAAAACAATTCAACAGAAAGCTTTAATAGGTCTCTCCTAAAGTCATATTTACTTGCTCTCAAGGGTTTTACAAATTTTTGAAAAGGCAAAAATACTACTTTCAAAAATGGACTGTTTTTTATTTTTTTAATTTTTATTTATTTATGATAGTCACACAGAGAGAGAGAGAGAGAGAGAGAGAGGCAGAGACATAGGCAGAGGGAGAAGCAGGCTCCATGCACCGGGAGCCCGACGTGGGATTCGATCCCGGGTCTCCAGGATCACACCCTGGGCCAAAGGCAGGCGCTAAACCACTGCGCCACCCAGGGATCCCTGGACTGTTTTTTAAATCATAGCTGTGATTACCCTAAGAAATACCATTCATTGGTAAAAGCATTAGAATCATTGTAGGCTGCCTCTGCCTTTTTTTTATCCATTTGTTTTTATTGAAGTTCGATTTGCTAACATAAAAATAAAATTAAAACAAGGATTTAAGGTCTGAGATATTGCTATAGTGATCTCACAGCAAGCCCCAGAAGGAAATGGCATTTAAAACCCTCTGCCTCGCTGTCCCTTCAGTGTCCAGACCAAGTTGCACGGGGGGCCAGCGGTGAGCGCAGGGCTCGGCTCCTAAGGGTGTTTGGAAAATGTGTGCACCCGGACTGCAAATGCGAGGTGAAGCCAGATGGCCCACACCAAAGCTGGCTGCCCCAGCCACCTCCTGCTTCTGTGAGTTTTGATGAGATTGACAGCTTCGGTCAAATTTTGCCTCCACAAGCAAGGACAACAATGACATAGCTTCCCTGCACCACTTTACCTACCCCCAGGCCCAGAAGCATCCAAGGCCAGCTCACCGCTGCTGACACAGTTCCCTCTGGTGGCCCCCCAGAGCTACAGAATTATGCAGGACTCCCCCTGGGGGTAATCGCAAGTGACTTCAAGGGCTGACCAGCTCTTGTGTCTGTCACAGAATCCTGCCATTTATTTCCTATTGAGTCTTGCTATAGACTGTTACAATTAGATGAAAAAATCACCAGAAAGGGGGGGGGGTGCAGGGAGGAGTCGGGGGAGGGGGTGGGGGGGAGGAGGAGGAAAGGAAACCAGATTCAGGTTACAGATGTGTTTGCCTTTGTGACTCAGAGCCAGAAAACCAAATGTGACCCGTGCTTGGTAACACTTCACACGCAGTGGTATAAATTCGTTTTATGCTAATAGTCACAGCAATGATAAAAAAAATATTAATAATAATGTGCCCTGTAATTATGTGGATGTCACAAGCATGTCCACCGAGGTTCTATTATAATCCAGTGTTAGTTAAATGTGGCGTCAATAGGTGGTTTTACTCTTAACTCGCCTGTTGCCATTAAAATGTCAATCCCCTGTAGTCCAAGGTGATGAAAGGCGGCATAAAAGGAATACATTATAGAGCCATCATTTTCATTCCTGGTTGGAAAAGAGGCTAAAATGGGCAAAAAAAAAAAGGGAACCAGATATTCATCCTTTTCTTTCCAAAGCATCAGTAGGGTTGGATTTGAGTTTTTTGGGTTTTGTTTTTTTTTTTTTTTTAACACAAGGGCTACCTCTGTCCCCATTACCTCATCCTGACCAACTACATGGTGTCATCGTTTAGCTCAGTTCTGTGTACCTAACGTTGAGTGAATAAATGTTTACTAAATGAGTGAATGAGTGAATGACAAGCAAGGGAGATGGGGGCCTGTTTTGCCCTCTGTCATCTTTCAAAGTAGAGACAACAGGAAAGGGATGGGGCAATGGCAGGAGGTCTAGGCTTGACATTGCTCTTTCTGGAGAACCAAGAGATGGCCTACTAGCTCTGGGGACTCGAGAGGCAAGGAGCTATCAGGCTGAGGGGTCAGCCTCCTCTCACAGCATCCCTGCACTCCTTAGGAAATCACCCAAGAGTGCCGAGTTCTGATTGCAGGGTCTGCTGGAAAGCTCACAGCATCTTAGTTAGGAGACCAAAATCCAAGACTGTCTTCATCTCTCACCATCTGTCAAAGCATTTCTCTCTCCCGCCCCTGTCCCCACATCAGCAATCCCCCTCATACGGTCTCTTGGACAGCTCATATGGTTGACATTTTGTCAAAGTAAGAAGATATTTTTTTCCTATGGAGCAAGGGCATAATAAATGTATTTTATATTTTCTGCACTTGGAAGGCATTTTCATTTTTAAACAGACTCCGTTATTTCCTAGAACATTTGCAAGATCCAGAGAGTAATTCAAAGCAAGAAGACCACCGGTATTGCTGGGTGTTTTCTTTCTTTGTTTTACCCTACCCAATGGAGAGCCTGGGTCTGGTTATATAATCATTAAATTTGGGGAAAATGTACAACCTAAAGGTGCTCAAATGTCCTGGGGAGCAGGTGTGTTCAAATCACTCTCAGAAATCTAATAAATGGCTTCAACCTTCCCTTTATCCCATTTGCCATATTGTGTTAAAGGACATGTGAACAAATACAAACTGATGTGAGAACCAAAACTGATGTGAGAACCAAACATCAAAGGAAAGAAAAAGTGTGCTGTGTCAGGGAGCACAGGTTCGTGGTATGCAGGGGGCTTCTCCTCTGCTCTTGTGGGTGGTGATCATTTTGGTTTTGGTTTGGGTTTCCTCTTGGAGGCCAAAACAAGAGATCTGGCTTTTCCCTGAAGATGGAGTAATGGGACGATGGAGCAGGGAGGAACTTAAAGATAACTAAGAATGCACCCTTTTTACTGAGGCTGAATCAGAGGCCTGGGAGGTGAGGCCATGGGAGGAAGCACATGGTGGCCTGCAAGGGTGGGGGCAGTGGGTATGGACGTGCCCTCTCTGAGTGAGTCCCCCCTTGGCAGACTTAGCCTGATGCATATGTGCTAAGAAACCTTCTTTAAGAATTAAAAATGTTGGGCAGCCCTGGTGACTCAACGGTTTAGTGCCACCTTCAGCCCAGGGTGTGATCCTGGAGACCCAGGATCAAGTCCCATGTCAGTCTCCCTGCACGAAGCCTGCTTCTCCCTCTGCCTATGTCTCTACCTCTCTCTCTCTCTCTCTCTCTCTCTCTCTCTCTCTCTCTCTATGTCTCTCATGAATAAATAAATAAAATATTTTTAAAAAAAAGAATTAAAAATGTTTTAAAAATCTGGTATATTCAAAGGAAAGTGAAAGACAAAACACTGGAGCCCAAAGGAATGAGATAAAACCTATTCAGCACACACGGACACATACTACATACACATGTGTATCGTGTCTATCATACCTGAAGGTACATCATATATCATGTGTTTATCATATATGTACTATATATAAGATGACACGCTCATTAGAATCATGTCGGATGCTCCATCAAAGCCCCATTTCTCTTCATAATAACTAAACAATATAGATATAGAATAATTAAACAGTAATTCTGAGCACACCTGAGATGTGCTCAGAATTTAAAGTCCAACAACGTGTGTCCTGAGGGCAAGTTACTCACCCTCCGTGCGCTGGTGTTTCCTGTTTATTCACAGATCTATCTGTTTCTTACCCTTCCTCTGCTCTGCATTGCACAGGCTGACTCATGCAACTACACGTCCCAGGCTGTCCTTTAAGTGGCTTCCTGCTAGATTTGGACAACGGGAGACAGGAGGGGGTTGGAGGGTGGGAAGAAGAAAGAAACCAGGGTGTGTCCCCTGTTTCTCTCTGTTTTGGGGTCAGGTCTCTAGAAATGGCTGAGTGCCCTCTGTGATTGTACCTTTCTGGGCTTTCCTGCCTTCTGACTCCTGGTAACAAGGTCTCCTCCCTGGATCTCTGTGGCTCCGGGAGTGTGAGGACGTCACTGCTGTTGCTAATCTCCAAGGCGCCTCATCATCCCATTTTCCCCTGTCGCCCACTCAAGCACCTTTGCGACTTGTGCCCCAAATTAAATTTCCTGTATTAAACCTGTGGTGTGGTTGGGGTTTCTTAACTGATACACTCATTAACCTCTTTCCTTCTCTGTATAAAGGGGGGTAATAATAGTAGTGGTGTTCTGCGGTTGTAGATATTAATTAATGTATGTAAAGTACATGGCATGTGACAAGCACACAGTCTTAACCAATAGTATTCTTTCCAATTTCTTTTTTTTTTTAAGATTTTATTTATTTATTCATGAGAGACACAGAGAGAGAGAGAAGCAGAGACACAGGATGAGGAAGAAGCAGGCTCCCCACAAGGAGCCTGATGCAGGATTTAATCCCGGATCCTGGGATCATGCCCTGGGCCAAAGGCAGACACTCAACCACTGAGCCACCCAGGGGTCCCTCTAACTTCTTTAACTTAAGTCTCTTTAGGGCATGAGGACACAAGTTACCAAATGCTTCTGTCTTTTGTGAGGGAGAAAACATTGCAAATAAGAAATGCCTATACACATGCCTTGTCTATCAGTGCGGTTGTGGCAGCCATGGTATAGTTGTCAGTCAAAAAAATTATTCAGTTAATTTGTTTGATCACACTGATTGATTGTTTGAAAACCCTGCACGGACAGCACAATGGGTCTTCAGATGTGTTGTGAACAGCCATTGACAAGCTAATGTCCACCTACAGACGGCACATCAACAAATTGCAGCCATTCTCATTCCCCCTTTAATGGAATCATAAGTTCATCTGGCGGACCATGCGTTGCTCACCAAACAGGATGTTCACACACAAAAACATTGGTTGACCTAAAAAAGTGATGAACTCTGATGGTGTGTTTCCATTCCCGCCTCTCTAATTTCTGCAGTTTTTAGAGATAGGTTTAGAGTGTTTAAGCTTGAAGCACACCTGATGTAACCTGACGAGTAGAGCAAAACTCCGCTGTGTGTCTGTTTCCCTACTCTCCGTGGCTCACCAAGGGTACAGTTACCTCTTCTCGGAGCCTGCTAATTATATATCCAGCTCCCTCCTGGACAGATCTGGTGCATGAGCATCTAAAACTAACATGTTCAAAATGGAGCTTTTTTATTTCCCCTGAAAATCTGTCCTCTCTTCAGTTCTCTCCATCTCGGTAAAGGGGCCATAATTCTAAATTAACCAGAAAGTCATGGGTTCTCACAAGAACCCATGGTATCCTTGAGGGCCCCTTTCTCCAGTCTGCCATCAGGGCTTGCTGCATCTCCACAGACCCAGCCACTGTCCTTCATCTCCCCTGCCATCCTGAGCAAAGCCGCCAGCATCTCTTGCCTGGACTAGGCCACTGCACCTCTCCTGGACTGCCATGCTTTCTCCTGCCAGCCCCACCCCCACACACACAGCAGCCAGAGCCATCTTTTAAAGATGTGCATCAGGTGTGAGCCACCTGCTACCAGCTCCTCAATGGCTTCCTGTTACCACCAGAATAAGATGTCCGTTTCCTTCCTAGACTACAAGGCCCCGCAAAATCCATCTTCTGCCTAATTTTCCACCATCATCCCTTCCCACTGCCCCATTCTGTTCATTCTGCACAGATGTCTTGGCCCCTGGCAGCTCCTGGAACACCTCAGGCCCTGTCATCAGGGTTTTTCACTTGCAGATCTCCCTGCCTAAAATGTCCTTGCCCTGGCTCCTCCCTGGCCATCTCCTCTCAGTCCTTCAGCATTCAAGGTAAACGCCTCTTACACAAGGAAGCCTTAGCTAGTCACCCTTCCTGAAGCAAACCTTCTACCATTCCCAAAAGGGAACCCTTTTTTCCTTTCTTTGCACTAAAGCAACTCTAAGTTTTTCCTCTATTCTGTTTTCCATTGCTTTGCTAGCTGAGGGTAGAGTAGTACCGAGTGACTACGTGGTTGAATAATTGAGTGAATATAAAACAACAGATCCCACATGTAAGACAGGCAAGATGATGGAAGGGTTTGAATCTGGAGCTTTCTGTCTCAATCATATTTAATCTAAATCAGTGATGCTATCAAAAAAGTAAATAAAAAAGGCTCTGGTGCCTTGACTATGTTGTGACCAAGTTTGATTATTTTTAGTGGATTTTTAGTAGATTAACATAAGGAGATAGCTTGTTCTTAGTCTTTTAATCCCAGATTTTTTGATGGAATACTGAATTAATTTTATGTCTCTTCCTGTATTGATCCTAAATTATTTAGTATTGTACTTTTAGTAACTTGGTTAAAAGGAAAACGAATTATCAGTAGTATAAAACCCAATTACAAGAAAATTGACTGCTTTGAGGGAATTAAAACTTCTGATGGAGAGTCAAAAGCCATCTGATATCACTGTGACGGAATATCCATAAGAGGACTTGTATTTTACCGAATTAGGAAAGTAGTTCTGGTTTCCTCTTCGGGCATCTCCACCACACTAGAGGGGGCTATTGTACTGAATTTGCTTACTTAATGTTCAAAATAATCTTTTTCTATAGATTTGACGTGGCTTTCCTTAAATTGAGAATCAGAAATGTATAGAATGATGATTTATGCCCTCATATACTTCCCATATGGGGCAACCAAATTTCCCTTTAGAGGGTCACTAGTCTTCATAGTCAAAGGAACTAGGTGTCCAGTACCTACCAAATCCTCCCAAAATCGCAAGAGTCAGACAAAACAATCATCCCACAGCCTACACTGGACATTTTTAATCAAGGATTCTTTTGGAAAAGTTGGATACTTTTATTATACTAAAAAGCCCAAAGATCCACTGAATTACATTACTTATGTTTGTTCTATGCTTTATTGTGTCAAGGTAGAGAATGACCATTATTTTTGTACATTTGTAGTGTATCACCACCTAGTAAAAAGGTGAACCAAGTTCTACATTTAGCCATAAACTCCTGCTGGGACCCAGCAAAATTGTGTATTTATGGAATTAGTATTAGCAATCGTAAATCTAGCTATAATGAGAGAGAATTTTAGAGGATGGGAGGCTGACCATATAACATTTGAAGGACTTGTTAAAAATCTTCTGTTTTACAAAACTTAGTTCTCTGATGGTCTATGAAGCATTTACCTAACAACTTCAAAGAAAACAGAGCCTACATGTGAGAACCCGCAGTATGCTAGGGAAGGCAATGGGGACGTAGGACTCTGTTTGCTGGGGTATAGGACTAAACAGGATGCATAAATCTGGAAAAAACTCACAGGTCATCTTGCACTCAGAAAATGAAGTGGTCCACCCAAGGTCACACAGCTAGGATTCCAATTCTGACTGAGTCCACCCACATCTCTGGGCTGTGTAAGCGCTTCCATTTTGAGGACTACATCGTTATTCGTCACTGTGAGCAATACATGGAACCAAGTATTTTGTTCCTGCTTTGCAAATAAAAAAAAAGATTCAAGAAAAAAATCTTTTAAAGACATAGGGGGGAAAAAAAAGGAAAGACCTAGATAGTAAAAGTATTCCTTTGGAATAGAATTAAGAAGCCTTGACCCCATATTCTGACTCTAGCCACTAAGAGGCACTCCTTCCCAGAAGAAGCAAAGTATCAGCTCTGTGGTGTGAAGCAGAAAGATCGTTTTCCACATGAAGATTTTTACTTTTTATTTTATGGCTTAACTCTATATGACCCAATAATAAAATCAGTTAGCAGAATGAGGAAAAACTCTGTGCGAGTGGTAAACGCTGTGCAGTGGCCCCCTTCTTCCACACACTGTGGGTACCCGGGCGAGGCCGTCATGTCATCTCTCTTTCCTGTCCCCCCAGGACTGCTCTACGTTGGCTTTAGTGCCTGCATGTTCGGTCTCTACAGCTTCATGCCAGTCGTCATAAAGAAAACCAGCGCCACTTCGGTCAACCTCTCCTTGCTCACAGCAGATTTGTACAGCCTGTTCTGCGGATTGTTTCTCTTCCACTACAAGGTAAGTGGAGTCAGTGCTCCTTTGTGAAGATGACACCTGGTGGGAAATAACACATAGAGGTGGGAATGTCCTGCTATGGAGTGCAACTCGGTGTGCCCACCCGGGGATCTGGATATTCACACCTCTGCTAAGACAGAGGCAACATTTTGTCACAAGAGACTAATGACTACAGGCACTTGATAGTGAAAGATAAACTACCATGGAGAGAAGGGCTTTAGGATAGTAGGAGGCACTTTTTCTGATACTGTGCACCCCAGAAGCTACTCTTTTTTCCAGCTTAAAGCTAAGAAGATTTGCACAGTTCCCAAACTCTCACCACAAAATGGATTCTACCAAAGAGAAAAGATCCAGTTCCTGCAATTTCTGTTTTGCAGACATTTTCATAGCAAGCAGGAATGGAAAATGCTAATAGACTCGGAATATTGTTTCTTTACTGAAAGCTTAGGGCTTGGAGTAAATGAATGCAGAGATCTTGTGAAACAGTTGCAGTTCAGCTATCAGCCCCAAGAAAAGAAGGAAGTATGCCCACCCACGGCACACAGGACTCATCGGTTATGGCACCCTGAAGTCAGATGCTATCCTGTAAACAATGTACTCAACTCCGACATTGAACAATCCGTGAGGATTGGGATAGGAGAAGAGGCCCATTTCCCATTCCTTCACTAGTCCTACAAGATAAGGGTCAGTGGAGACTATGAGCAGGGTGAGAAAGGATGAGTATGAAGTATCCAAACCAGAAAAGACCAAAATAGGAGCAAGAAAAGAAGAGACAGAAGGAAGCGATATTACTCTGACCATTTTTAGCCAAGGGCTTCACCGGTGATATTACAGGTAACACCACTGGCCCATGGGTGGGGCCCACTGATGGGGCCTCTTGCTAGGCAGGCTTCAACCAGGTCAAACTGGTTTTGGAAATTCCCTGAGAAATGCTGAGCTAGAAAGAGTATGTGCTTGAGAGGACCAGAGACAAAGCAGCTGAAGTGAATAATCAGAAATACTACTGGAGGGGCGCCTGGGTGGCTCAGTGGTTGAGGGTCTGCCTTTGGCTCAGGGCATGATCCCAGGATCCAGGGATCGAGTCCCACATCGGGCTCCCTGCGAGGAGCCTGCTTCTTCCTCTGCCTGTGTCTCTGCCTTTCTGTGTGTGTATCTCGTGAATGAATAAATTTAAAAATCTTAAAAAGAAAAAAAGAAATATAACTGGATAAGCCAGTCATAGCCAAGAAACAGACTGAGTAGGGCAGACGGGGTGGAACAGAGGTCACAAACAAGGTTAGCACAGAGGCCCAGAAGCGCACCTGGAAGAGGAGAGGTGGAGAGACTGGCTGTGGCAATGACAGAGATAAAGTGCTGAGTCCCTGTTTTACGAGGAGCCCTGTGCCCAGTGCGGTGGCCAAAATGACAGCTGAAAGGACTGGACAGCCTTTCTACACTGTCTGTAATTTGTTTTGTCTAGATGGTACAATCTCAGTGTCCTGAGCACACTCTGGCCCTCACTAGGGCAAAAAGTAAAGCCACGGCCTGGTCCCCCCTGGCCCCCATTGCATGGTTGGGAAGACTGGCTCCCCTGAGAAGCCCCCTGTAACACCCAATTCTTTTCCAGAGCTCTGGGGACCACCTGGCCCTGGTCTTGGGTGGGAGCCAGTGGCTGTCATTTTTCTTCTCGACTCTACAGCTAGGCATCCGCATCTAGCGCCTTCCCAAGTGGGACTTGGATTCCCAGCAGTTATTCCTGTGGTGGTTTTTATAAGCTCCTGAACTAGACAGATCACTTTAATCCTCCTTCAGGAAAGACCCCTAGAACCTCTTGCTCTGACTCAGGACTGGAGCAAGTTTTCCGGGCAGCCCAGATCCAGTCTGGCCCTCCATGTCCCCACCGCAGTATCCCTGCAAGTCTACCTTCACTGGGGGATTTGCAAACAGTGCAGATCCATGGGTCACCTCAGAGCCACAGAACCAGTATGGGGGGATGTGTCTGGGGGAGTCTACACTCTTGATAGGCTCCCTAGTGAAGCCCATGTTCTCTGACTTCGAGAACAAACAGCTGAGAGGGCTACCTGAAGGGTGCCCATCCCTGTATGAATGTCACTCCTTCCACCTGCACTGACTTTTGGCTAGACTCTGGGGCTCTTCTCGTGACCGAGCATCAGAAATTAAGAAGCTGATGCCTCAGGTCAGAGGGTACTAACCCCCCAGCATCTGTGTGTTAGGATAAGGAAGTTTGCAGAAGAGGAAACCATGTAGTAACTCTTCATCAAGCCATCAGACGACAGGCTATCGTATCTGAAAATTGAATTCTTGCATTCATCAGTTTGGAGGTGTAATGGATGTTTTTACCTCTTAAAGCAATGTTTCCCTATATACACATATTTTGTTACTATCTAACAGGTAAATTTCTTTAATGCAACAATTGATTCAACACCATAAGTATTTTCTCTAGTTAAAATTGATTCCTTAATTTTTTTAATTAAATTTCCAAGGTAAGAATAGATTCATATGTAGTTTTAAGAAATAATACAGAGAGATCCCATTTACCCTCTACTTAGTTTCCCCCATTGGTAACATCTTGCGAAACTATAGCATAGTCAGGATATCAACACTGAGGCCAACGGTATTCGAGGCCATTTCACCCCCAGCAGGGAGGCTCCTGTTGTCTCTCACAGCCATGCCGACCTACGCTCACCCACCTCCATAATGCTGCCAAACCTTGCTTCTATTCCCCATTTTTCTAAATTTGTCACTTCAAGAATGGTATATAAATGGAACTATATAGTGTGTAACCTTTTGGGTTGGACTTTTTTCACTCAGCATAATTCTCTAGAGATTCATCTAGATTGTTTCATATGTCGTTAGCCCATTCCTTTTCATTGCTGAGCATTAGTCCATGATATGGATGTCCCACGATTTATTTAACCATTCCTTCCATGAAGGACATCCGGGTTTTCTCTATTTGGGACTATTATAAATAAAGCTGCTCTGAACATCCATGTACAGGTTCGTGTATGAACAGTTGTCATTGCCCTGAAATAAACACCCAAGAGTCCAATGGCCAGGTGTACAGTTGTAACATGTTTAGTTTTATAAGAAACTGCCAGACTGTTTCAGAGTGGTCTGTTGTCTTTTATTACAAATACATATTCATTGTGAGAAAGTCAGAAAATACAGAGAATACTATTACACATTGGTACAATATTATAGTGTGTATATATGTTTACATAATATGTATATACAGAGATGTTCTTATAGTATATATATATATATATATATTAGAGTTCATTTACATTTTAACACAAATTTAATAAAAATGTAATAAAATTTTAATAAAAACTGCTTTGTTACATGCTCTATGTAGACTTAGCACATACCTATTTCCTTGTCAGTTAATATCTATATATAATATATATGTGAGTCTGAATGAGTGGTTCTCAGCTCTGGCTATTGTTACTTATTATCTGCAAAGAAATAAGTTAAATACTCGGCTTAAATCTAAAACTTAAAAAAAAAAAACCTTCCTTTGCCTATTTTCTAAAAGAATCTTCCAAGCAATGATTGAATTTGCAGTCAAATATTCATTGCTGGAAAATCCAGAATATTTTCTCCCACTGGGCCCAGCTTACCTGCCTCTGAAATTGGCCTTGGGCTTCCCAGATGTGAAGCTCTCTAGAGCTAGAGAGAAGGGTGGGTCTGAGTGGCTCGTAGATTTCCCACGACAGCCAGATGGGCCATATCAGCAAATTGATTTTTAAATAATGCTTACTGGAGGTACTTTTATCATAATGAGTAATTTATGGTCAATGGAAAAATCTTGGCAAATTTTGCAAAGTTCAAAAATGATAATGTCACAGGTTGGGTGTGTGTGTGTGTTCAGGGATAAGGAAAAGGTGGTTATATTTTCATGTATCTTATACTTCGAAGAAATGTCTATTTAATTGTCTTGCCCATTTTAACTGGGTTATTTGGGATTTTTTTATCAATGATTGTAATATTTATTTATATATGCTGGGTAGTGTACACCTCTCAAATACATGATTTGTAAATATTTTCTTCCACTCTGTGGTTTTTAATTTTGATGAAGTCCCAATTAATCAATCAGGTTATACTTTTAAAAACATGAAAGGAACCAAGTCAATTCCACCATGGATTCCGGGCTACCAGGTCTTCCCTGGTGGTTGCCAGCAGTGCTCCTCTCCAGGGCTGCTTAGTCATGATTGCCAGTTGCCTCAAATTGCCTATTCTGAGGGGATGGATGAAAGTCACAGCCTAAGGAGGAGAAAATAGGGTGACTTTAACTATATATAGAGAGTGTAGTGGGGAAGAGAGTTTAAGCCAGTACCCTCAACCTTGGCTGCACATTAGAATCACCTGAAGAGTTTTAAAAATACTGATGGTTGGGTACCACTCCCACTGATTCTGATTTATGCAGTCTGCAGTATGGCCTGGGCTTTAGATTTTTTAAGTCTCCCTAGATGATCCTATTATGCAGCCAGCATCGAGAGCCACTGCTTCATACTGACTCTATGTGGCTTGTAGGCACGTGGAACTAGGACCAAAGGGCGAAGATTATAAGATTATAGCTGAATATAGAGAAATTTTGTTAAGAATTAGTCATCCAAAGTGGAATAGACTGTCTTGGGAGCTCTTTTCCCTGGAGGAAGCTGGACAAGAATAAGAGAGGGACAATGTAAAGGGGCCTCACACTTTAGTACAGAGGATTGACCAATCACCCCTGAGCTCTCATTGAGTTTTTCTACAGTCTGCACTTATAGTTTATTCCTTCACTTAATCATGATGTCTTTACTCTAAATAATCTTCTGGTCTTGTTATAAATATCTGCAAGTTGAAAGGGGAGGGCTATTTGCTCACAGATGTTGCTTACCCAGGCAGAACTCAATGATTAAATGAACCTCTCCTGCCCAACATTGATTATTTGCTTTTTCTCGCTTTCCACCCTTGGAAAAAAATCTATTCCCTTCCCACCCATCAGTCCACTGTCTGCACCT